TTGCACACCTCGAGGAGGTGGCTGCCACCGCGGCACCGGGCACGGCCGGCACCCACGGGGACACCGGGGCACCCACGGGGACACCGGGGCACCCAGATGGCACCAATGGCACCCAGGTGGGAACAGTGACATCTGTGACACCAAGATGGCGCCAAGGACTCCCGTGGAACAGGAACGGCACCGGTGGCACTTGGGACACTCAGATGGCACCGATGGCACCCAGGACACCAAGATGGTGCCAATGGCACCGAGACGGCACCAAGATGACTCCAACGGCACCCAGGACACCAAGATGGCGCCAACGGCACCAAGACGGCACCAATGGCCTCAATGACACCCAGGTGGCACAAATGGCACCCAAGACACCCAAATGGCACCAATGGCACCCAGATGGCACCAATGGCACTGAAGACACCGAGATGGCACCAAAGGCACCGAGATGGCACCAATGGCACCCAAGACACCAAGAAGGCACCGATGGCACCAAGATGGCACTAATGGCTCTGAACACACCCAGGTGGCACCAATGGTGGCCAAGACACCAAGATGGCACCAAAGGCACCCAAAACACCCAAATGGCACCAATGGCACCGAGATGGCGCCAATGGCACCCAAGACACCCAAATGGCACCAATGGCACCCATGGCACATGGATGACGCCGATGGCAGCCAAGACACCAAAATGGCACCAAAAGCAGTGAGATGGCACCAATGGCACCCAAGAAACCAAGATGGCGCCCACGGCACCGAGAGGGCACCAATGGCACCCAGGTGGCTCTAATGGCACCCAAGACTCCAAAACGGCACCAATGGAACTCAGGACACCCAGGTGGCACCCAAGACACCAAGATGCCACCGATGCCACCCAACCACCACCCCCAGGGCCCCACCCACCTCCTGGGCGTGCCGTCGTCGTGCGGCGGCACGACGGCCACGGTGACGGTGACCGAGGTGCGCAGGAGGTCGATCATCTGCTCGTGGCTCAGCGCCACGGCCGCCACCTTGCACACCTCGAGGAGGCGGCTGCCGCGCCGCAGCCCGGCCTGCCAGGCGAAGCCGTACTCCTCCACGTCGGCCACGCTGCCGTCGGGGTGAACGTGGAAGCCCAGCTGGCCCAGCCCGTTGCGCCTCAGGGTCATCTCCACCGTGGCACAGCCCGGCGTGGTGGCCTGGCAAGGGCGCGGTGAGCGAGGGGTTAAAAGTTTGGGTCAGGAACCCACGGGGGGGGTTGAATTTTGGGGTTTTGGGGGTTTTTTTTCGGTTTTTCTCTGGTTTTTCTCAATCATCCCTAACCCAAAATCTTCAATTTTCAGGTTAATTTCTTCCATTTTATCCCAATTTCCTGCATTTTCCCCGTTTTCTGCCTTTTTCTCCCAATTTCCTCCCTTTTTTTCCCCAGTTTCCTCCATTTTT